AAAGTTTTTTTGAGTTTCAAATTCATAAACTAAATTCTTTGCTATACTTTCTAGTACATTCTGATAAAATTACAAATCGTAACAAGAATAGGCGAAAACCGAAAATTGATCCGGATGTCAAGGAAATGATGAGAAGGAATTTCACCAACGAATATGATTTTTATTATTTTTGCAAGCAGCGCCTCTACAAGCAATATTTGGCGCTGAACCTAAATAAAGTGTCTGTTATGCGGCAGTTAAATTAACTAATTCGAAATATAAAGTGTTTTGATGTAAAAAGATGTTTATTTATTTTGAATTGGAAATTGAGTGAAGAGGGAGAAAATACATGCCGTACTTATTAGATAAAGAAAACAACTATGTGATGTAATTTCATGTGCTGTGATGTGAAGCGATGTGATAGGGTATCATGTCATGCCTAATGATGTCATATCATGTGATGTTCTGTCATATGATGTCACATCATGTGTTTCGATAACAAAATCGGATAGTAACATCAATAAAAACATCGATAACAAAACCGATAAAATTATCGATAATAAGTTCGATAAAAAACGTTGAGAGCAAAATAGACAAAAATATCGATAAGAAAGGCAATAAAAATATCCATAGAAAAATCGATTAAATATCGATAACAAAATCGATAAAAACATCGATAACAAAATTAATTAAAAATGTTGATAAAAAATCGATACAAAATATCGATAACAAAATTGATAGAAATATCGATAACAAAATCGATAATAAAAATATCGATAACAATGTCGACAACAAAATCAATAAAAATATGGATAACAAAATTGATTAAAATATCGATAACAAAATCGATAATAAAAATACCAATAACAAAATCGATAAAAATATCGATCATAAAATTGATAATAAAAATACCAATAACAAAATCGATAAAAATATCGATAAAAAAATCGATAAAAATGTCGATCATAAAATCGATAAGAAATATCGATAACAAAATCGATAAAATGATCGATTATTATATCGATAAGTTCCGAGAGTACCGAAAATCCCGAAATAGTTCCCAGGTTTAGCCTCTGTGACTCTATTTTTATCGTCTTCTTTATTTTAATTCTTCTTCCTCTATCCTCATCTTTACTTTTATTGGTATCCTCGTCCTCATCATTTTGCTAAAAAGATTCCACCAAGAAAAAAGCTTTTAATTGCCGAGAGATTTAGCAACGAGTTTATAACCTATAATTGTTTTCTTCTACATTTCCTTCCTGCTGCTTTTTTACTACTTAAACGCATGTACATACATATATACACTTATATTTACATAACTACATATGTATATACAAATACTGCTCTCGAAGTTGTTTATTACTTAGCGCCGTTGCTGTGCATGGCTTTTCAAATGAAAGATTTTCCATTTCAGAAAAACCGAAATCATTAAATTAGCACACATATCCCAAGGTTGAAAGGTTTATTACACCTGATGTCTTAACACTTTTAAATTTTTAGTTAAAGACTTTAAATGCCTATCGGTTAAATAATACACGAAAAGCCGACATAGATGTTCTTTTCTTCAATCGCTGTGCCAAAGTGGGAAGCGAATCACTTCTCGAGCTCTTCAATAAACTGGAGAACTTCAATAATCTGATTATGGAGCGTGCTGGTTTGCGAAGGGGCACCAAACGCCAACTCAAGATGTGGGAACAGCGTGAATTAGCCATAAATATATCTCAATTCGCCGATGGTTCCGTTTATATAGAACATGTGAATTGGATTGATTTCGAAGAATTTGAACTACCAAAACCGATTTATATTAATTTGGTACGCGATCCGGTGGAGCGTGTGATAAGTTGGTATTATTATGCGCGTGGCGCCTATAAGAATGCAATCGAATATCGCAAGTTTCCCGATTCGCCAATAAGACCAGCAGAATGGTATAAGAAAGATTTTAATCATTGCGTACGTAGTGGCGATCCAGAGTGTCAATATGTGCCATATACAGTTAATGATTTTATTGGCAATTTCAAGAGGCAATCGCTTTTCTTTTGCGGACATAGCGATGATTGCTTGTAAGTAAAATAATAAATACATATGTACATATGTACCATTTACTACACTACATATGTAGATAACTTAACTTGGATTTGTTGCCCATTTTCTGTAGACCCTTCAACTCACCGGCAGCCGTTCAGATGGCAAAGGAACATGTGGAACGTGACTATGCAGTAGTGGGCTCTTGGGAAGATACAAACGTCACACTCACCGTTTTTGAAAAGTACATACCGCTCTTCTTCAATGGCGCAAAAATTCTATTCGAGAGTACGTAATTGATTTTTTTTCTGTGATAATAGCCTGATCAGTCAAAGTAAAATAAGTAGGTGACTTCAACACAAGTAACACTGATCAGTTTGTTATCTTTTGCAAGTTTTTGACAGTCTCAAACTCATAACCTTAATTCTTTGCTTAACTTTCTAGTCCACAATGACCAAATAACAAATCGGAACAAGAATAAGCGAAAACCAAAAATAGATCCGGATGTCAAGGAAATGATACGACGAAATTTCACTAACGAATATGATTTCTATTACTTTTGCAAGCAGCGCCTCTACAAACAATATTTGGCTGTGAGCCTCAATGAAGTCTCGATCATGGAGCAGTTGAATTGAATGCAAGCAAAACTAGTATAGAAATTACAGAATTGAAGATAAAGCACATTCGAACAATAAAGTGTTGTGATTAAAAAACATTATATGTATTTGGGTACGTCATCAATTAACGGCGAGACTGGTTATGAAATCAAGCCATTTGATTCTGGTTTTCAAAAATGGGTCACAGTCAAACGATTGATTTCTCCCTTTACGGTCAATAATTAACCATACTACAGAAATCGAGTAAGAAATTTACCACAATTGATAAATAGAAAAGGTGTTCATCAACACAACGCCAGGCAAAAGCTTGCTGGCACAGAAATAAATTAAGCGAGCTTAGCTGTGCATTTTCTATGCATCCGTCAAAATTTTCGGATTTTTCTTCCTTTGAAAATGACTTCATTTGGCTTTTGTACTCACAAATCATAGAAGTTCAACGCATAGAAGTTAAGCTTTGGTATTATAGTTTAGGTTAGAGGACGGCCTACATATGTGGAGGCACACCTAGACACGCTGTGTACTGTGGTGTCGTAAAGAGGGGAGAAGATGACAAGACACAGGAAGGGTGAGAGGAGGGTGCAAACAGAAGAAAAGCGCTCTGTGCTAACAACGAAGCTACTTTGACTTTTTGGTTTTACCAAAAAAAAGGTTTGGTCCAAAAAACTACTAACCTTTCTCACAGACTACATATAATAAAATTATTCTATGCATAATATTTTTAAATTTCTGAACACTAGACGGCACTTTAAATCGGAATTATGTAGGTGAATTCTAATAATTCTAACTGCATACATACGTATTGCGTCAATCCCCATAACTACATGGCGTATGAGCGACTTTTTTATATAATCCAGTTGATACGAGTATTACTGAAACGGCTGGTAATTTAGTTATCACCGAAGAGAACCTCCGTTGGGGAGACCATCCGTAAGGCTTTTGTAAAGGTGCTGTTCATCAAAGGCCTTTGATGCGCCTATGAAGACGCTTTATAAAAGCACCGTTTAATATGCATAACTATTGATGTCTATATATAAATATTTAGTAAAGTGTAATTTTTTTTTAGTTTTTTCGAAATTGTCCTACCATTGCAAAACAAGGTACATTCGAAAGGGCAGTCCTTTCGCTATAATAAGGGTATTTTTTTATTTATTTTACGTTGCGTTGTGTTACGAGGTATACAGATTTATATGGAATGACTTCAAGAAAATTTCTCAAATTCTCAATTCTTTAGCAAATAAAGCCATATATTTATAGGAACTTTAGTAATGAAAACGTTCATCATATATATATATTTAATATACATATATACACAAATTGGATGTATCGTTAAGATTTAGGGGATGTGCAACTCAAAAATATAAAATCTTCATACAAAAAAATTTATGGTTTTTTCCAAAACTATNTAAAAAAAAAAATTAAATTAAAATATAGCAATAAAAATATTTAAAAAAAAATTTAATTAATTTAAGGACTAATTTTTTTCTCTTGAAAACAATAAAATCTAAAAACTAAGAGAAAACTAAATTAGGAAAAGAAAAAAGAAAACAAAGAGAAGAAAATAGTTGGTCAAAATTAGAGGAAATAAAAAAAGTTTTAAAACAAAAATTTTTAAATAAAAAGAGGTGAAAAAGGCCACCTTATCAGTCTAAAATTGCAGGGGCTAAAAAACTGTATACTGTGTAGAAAATTCTAGCACTTCTGAAAAAATAGTTTGAAATTTAGGTGAAAATTTGTTGCACTTTTTTTTAGTTTTCTACAAATTGTTAAACTTGGGTATATATGGAGTTTCTCTGAGAATTAACATAAGTGGCAAACAATATCACTTTGAAATGCCAAGCTATAGATATGACCGATACTGTACATTTGTCAGATTCATAGCCGAAATCGATGTTCCGAAAGGTTGTTTTATATTTCAGATATAACTCTTATACCAAAGAACGTGATAGTCCCACTGAAGCTAATTGGTGAGTATTAAAAAAAATATTTATTGATTAGTGCTTATTCAATTTATTAATGCTCGTAGAATGCTATTTGTGAGTAAATAGGCTATTCTTTATTTATTTATTATTTAGTTGCCTTATCGTTATTTGTTTTCAGATTTGATGGCAGCAATTCATTGTTTTGAAAAGCAAATTAATCACTGAATTATCAAACAGTAAACAAGCGACTTTTAATTTGATAACGATCTCTATTCGTCAAATCAACAATGTGCCGATAATTGCTTTCAAAATATTCTATACAATATTAATTTTTCTTTTTTTTTAATCTACGCTATTGACACCCTGAAATGCGTGAAGTGTAAT